AATGAAAGTGTCAAATTTATCTTAGCTATATGGAAACATGAGGTACTTTTTCCCCTTGATTTTTGTCTATCTTAATTTTACTTAGTTTTGTAAAATCACAAAGTAATCATTCTTACTGCAAGTGTCACAATATAAAGAATAATGATGCCCAATCTGGAATATAACCTCCGACAACCTCCTCCATGCTTACGAAGATATAAACATGTGCAGGTGTGTGTTTGTTTTTTACCCAAAGAAAATCATACTACTTTCATCACCCTATAGATTGCTTTTTTTTTTTATTTGAGAATTTTTCATGGGCAATGCTACAAGTTAATCTTAGACAGAGATCGTTTTCTTCAGTCTAGTTTCCTTGTAAACACACATTTTAGAGAAATGGAATAGTATCTCATGTGTGTGCGCTTTGTAAGTTCTGCCTTTTTTTTCCTTTTTATTTGTCTCCCTCCTGACTTTACTCCAAACATAAGGCCTCCCAGGCTGTGTTAATAAACCACTGTGTCTCTTTCTACTTTTATTCAGTTTATGTAATATGTATATACCCCGTATTACGTCAAATCTGAGATGTACTTTGCTTTTTACATTTTAATATTTCTGAAATGATGATATCTTAAAATCTGAGATTTAATGAAATATGGTACACATGTGTACGTTTGGGGGCTTTGTCCTTCATTCTTTGCTTTACAAAAACAAGATCATGTTTGCATACTTTTCTGCATTTTACTTTCTCTTTTACTTTGTGGAAATCTCTCCAAGACAACTGATATCACTGTGTTCCCTTTTAAAAACATGAATTATAATATTCAACATTCCTCTAGTGATGGACCGCTATCTTTTTCCTATGTTGTTCCCCGCTCTCCGCCCCCCCCACCAAAAATGCTGCAATAAACATTTTTGTTTCTATATCCTATGTACTGGTGCTTTTATTTCCCTGGGACAGATTCCAAAGAGTTGTATTTCTGGCTTGAAAGGTGTTATACTTTTTATTTTAATAGTGTTACCAGGTTACTTTACATAGTGGTTGTAACAATTCACTCTTGTTCTTGTTATTCATTGCTACATAACAAATGGCCCTATAACTTAGTGGCTAAAAACAACAGCAATCAATCAAGGACTTTACTAACGAGTCTGCAACTGGAACAGAATTCTGGGGGGGATAGTTTGTTTTGGGGCTCCACATGGTGTCTGGACCCACAACTGGGATGGCTTGGAGGGCGGAGGGCTGGCCAGGCAGCTCTCTCTCTGTCCTTGTATGCTCAGGACTACTATCCATGCCACCTCTAAAACAGGGGTCTCGCCACTGTGGCAGTCCCAGAGCTCTGGTGGAAGCTGCAAGGCTTTGTATCACCCAGCCTCGAAAATCCCAGGAAGTCACTTTCTCCATTTTCTACTTGTCAGGCAAGTCACTCAAAGTGATTTGAGTGGTGGATGAGCAGATTGACCACAAATCCCACTGACAATGAACGGAGAAAGTACTCATTTCCTGAATCTTTCCAGGCTGGACTGCTCTTTAAAACTCTTTAAAAGTGTTGTCCACTTGACAGGTAAAAACGGGCAATTCATTGTTACTTTTTATGTCTCCCTGAGTTCAGGAGAAGAAGAACATCTTTCTATAACGTTATTGGCCACCGAAATCACCTCTTCTATGCAATGCCTATTCATATTTTGCTTGTTTTGAGTTATAATTTTCTTCACAATTAGTAGGAGCTCCTTTTTTCTTTTTAAACAGTTTTATTGAGATGTACTCAATATTGAGATGTGAGCATACCATACAATTTGCCCATTTAAAGAGTACAATTCAGGGCACAGTGGCTCATGCCTGTAGTCCCAGATACTCAGGAGGCTGAGGCAGGAGGATCGCTTGTGTGCAGGAGTTCCAGGCTGCAGTGAGCTATGATCTCACCATTGCACTCTTTTTTTGTTTGTAGTACCAACAACGGCGAGTCTTACTATGGGTGGCATCTTAATGAAATGCTGTGTGCATCAGATACTATCATGAGCATTTTACACGTGCTGTTTTAACTTTACAATCCCTATCATTTTACATACTAGGGAACTGAGGCACAAAGAGGTTTAATAACCTGCTCGAGGCCGTGCATATCACGGAGCAGGGATGGACGCAGTCTCGCTGCAGAGGCCACGCTCAGTTCCTGCACTATGTGGCCTCGGATTGAGCGCGCGGGGTTCCCTCGGAGGGGAGGCCACTCTGCTGAGCTACGGGACACATTCTTACATTGAGTCCTTCAAACAATCTCATGAAGTTGGTACAGTTTTTTTATTATTCAATCTTTGAGGGGAGAAAGTGTTTAAAAAAGATTAAGTAACATAAGGCTACACTGTTAGAAAGCAGCCAAAAAGGATGTGGATTGTAGCCTGACTCCAAAGACTCTCTTTTATTCAGTACATAAAAACAAAGTCTTTGGGAGGTAATCTGCTCTGTAAAAGAACAGGAGGGCAACATTCTGGGTCCAGACAATTTTTATATTTATAGAGATATTTTATAAAGGATCTGTGAAAAATGTTAACTATGCTATGACTAAACACCAAAGAATATTTACTCTCTATTCCAGAGAGGAAAAAATTAACATCTATTAATTTGAATGCACTTATTTTAAAAACCCCAAATTTCCAGGTACTGGGATTTGCTTACAGTTTTATTTTGAAAGGCACTCACATATTAATTTTAATAAGATCTTGTATGCTATAAATGCAGCCTGGGTTGATTCCCTGGAGTAACACCCAACGAAAATGAAATCAAATTGAAACCAAAGGTGCTTATTAAATTGAAACACGTTTTAATTCATTGATGTTCATTATTTATTTTATTAAATATATCAGTGGTTTTTATCCTAATTATAGCAGTAAAAATATTGATTTGCTGATCCTGATGCAAGACTTGCTATTTGTTCTTTCCTCTTCAGATATATTTGTGATTCGCAAAGCTTCCGGGGACTAATATTTTTAAGATCATAAAGCTTTGTGTTTGTATGCTAATTCTGTATTGCTAATGATTTTTCAGAGGCTGTTATATCCCTACAACTATTGCATGAATGAGATAGGTAAGGCCAATATTTATAAATAATGACACTCAGGCAAATAGAGGTTGAGTGACTTGGAAAAAGGTCATTGGTATTGCTGGTAAACTCAGGGACAGAATTCTGATCTTCATACTCAGGTTGCTTTGTTTGGTATTTGAAATGAGCTCCGCATAAATGCACTTAAATGAAATACTAGACAAATTGACTTCACTAATGCTTAACCAACAATCACACGCTGAATTTTGGTCATCAGGAAAAAAGTAAAGTTTCCAATAGACTAACCATTATTAAGGTTATTTAATAGATTTTTATAATCTATAATAATCTAGATAATCTTCATAGAATGGATTCATTGCTCTATTTATCAAGAGAAGTTTTTGTTAGGAGAAAGACACCACATATTGATGAGTGGGTTTTAGGTACAAATTTACAAAGAGAAGTCCTGGCTTTCTCATGCCGTCTGACTAGTTCAAAAATATGCATTAAACAAAAAAGAGAATATAAATTTATAAGAGGAGTTAATGCAAAATGCACTAAAAATCCAAAGTAGCATTTAGGTAGTCTAGACTTCTACATTTGCATGTATACATCATGGCATAGCATTTATAAATACATTTGTGACAGTCCCAACAGATACAAAAAAGGATGGGTCTTATGTGGGTCTTACTCTCCGGCCCAAGGGTTCAAATGTCAGAGGGTGTGAAGGGTGAGGATGAGGCTAGAAAGGGAGGGAGCTCACAAGGAGGGTTTGTCCCTTTCGGAGTATTTTGGAAAGTTGTGGGGCCTTATTTTTGTATATATAAATTACTTAAGATATTGTCTCTTCCGTATCCAAGAATGTTCAATAACTTTCTATATAAAAAGAACCTATCATGAAAATTAACCTTTGCAAAGCCTGCAGTTTTTCCCTTGTAAAATTCTACTATAAACACTTCTTGTTAAAGGCTTATACAGTAAGGTGAGACACGACTGCCACCATGTGGAACAAAAATGTACCATAATAAGTATATACTTCAACTAAGCCTTCAATGTACTAAGAGAACTACCGAATTCTTTATTTTAAAATGCAATGGGGTGGTGGCTCACACCTGTAATCCTAGCACTCTGGGAGGCAGAGGCGGGTGGATTGTTTGAGCTCAGGAGTTCGAAACCAGCCTGAGCAAGAGCGAGACCCCATCTCTACTAAAAATACAAAGAAATTAATCAGACAACTAAAAATATATAGAAAAAATTAGCCGGGCATAGTGGCACATGCCTGTAGTCCAAGCTACTTGGGAGGCTGAGGCAGAAGGATCGCTTGAGCCCAGGAGTGTGAGGTTGCTGTGAGCTAGGCTGACGCCACGGCACTCTAGCCCGGGCAACACAGTGAGACTCTGTCTCAAAAAAAAAAAAAATAAAATAAAAAAAAATAAAATAAAATGGGAACAATGATAAATAAGTACTGTTTGATCTTCTTTGAGTTACATTAGTCTAGATTCATTAATGCAATGTTCATTTTTGGTACAAGTAGTTGGACACTGACACTGACAATATGAACTAGCAAAATGCTAATTATGAAAATTATCTGCAGCCTTGCTACTCAAACTATGTTCCAAGATCAGCAGAATCTATACATTAGCTTGGAGCTTGTTCGAGATGCAAAATCAGGCCCCCCCCTCATAGGCACTGAACGAGAGTCTGTATTTGAACAAGTTCCCCAGGCGATTTCCGAATCTAGTTTCTATTCCTTGATTCCAACCCCATCTCCTTTACACTCCACCCACCCAACACAGGGGTGGTGAATTTCACCCAAAATTCCAGATAGTTAAGAAAAATATAGTTTTTACTTGAATTACCAGATTAACTTGACCTTCTCTTTATAAATATGGAAATCCATTTTATCAATTATTTTCTTAAACTACTGGGTTAGTTCCACAATTCAGAAAAACACTGAAACAAATTTTTCAGAAAAAAGGGCTGGTTTAGTTTCAGGAGAGAGTATTTTATTTTGCCCAATCAGAGCCCTTCAGCATAAAGAGACATTCATATACATATATATGAACATTTTCCAGAAACATTAATTTATAATACATTTTTTAAAATACCAGCTTAATGGTATTTATTTACAAAAATATTTCATTACCTAATTTTAAACCTTTTGCTGTGATGACAGTTTGTAAAGTACAGGAATGCAAAATAACTACAAAGTTTAACACATTTTTCGTGTTTGCAGTAGTGCTTTTTTTAAGATGAAACAATACACAGATTTTTTTTTTTAAAACTGTATTTCAAAATGCATATTCCAGTAATTACCTGTGAGATAGTTACTGGGACTGAGCAAGATTTTTTTTAAAAAAAGTGCAGCAACTGAAAAACACCTGCATGTACAGTTTAAGGTATACACAAGCTAGAGCTCTACACCACGCATGCTTGCCCCTGAAGTGGACAATGTTAGAAAAACTTAATCTTGCTCTTTTTTCCTATTGTCTTTTGGTAATGCATTTCCAATGAACCAACAGTATAACTAGAAAGCAAAATGTTTTTCTGGTTCTAACTATCATGTTGAGCAGAGGTCACACCTGAAATACCACGGTACTGTTTATTTACAAAAAAAAAAATTTAAATTAAAACATGATTTACCCTCTCTGCATTGCTTTCCATTGATATGTTGAGTCTGTTTTTCAACTCTATACATTGTCTTCAGTTGAAGTAAACAGAAATTGAAGGCAACACAAAACAAATACCAAAAGTATAAAAAAACCCAAACTACAAAATAAATAGGATTCCATTGCCATTAACCTATATCCATTTTAAATGCCTGAGTCAAAACAACCTACAATAAGTTAATACTCATTTATTTACATCTCATACACTATGAAATTTTAATTTAAACTATGAGCCTCATTGTAAAATACTGGCAAAACTGACATTCATGATTTTTCTGATGTAAAGAATAAAATAAAGAGAGCACTTACAAGTAGCCCCAGACTACTGTACTCAATTTGTAAATGAATTGTGCCTAACAATTTAAGAGTGTGTTAATAACTGAAGAAAGCAATGTTATAACCTTGGTAACTGGGAAGTTATTAAAATCATTTAATTCAGCTGAGAAAGGTAAGCTAAAGATTTCCCCTTTATGTGTTGTTTTTGTTTGTTGTTGTTGCAACAACTGTTTTCTGTCCACAGACCTTTATTAAAACTTCTGAGGCAGTAGTAAGATCATTAGTATTCACAGGAAAAATAATCCCCATAGCACTTTACAAGAGATTGATCAGAGTGATGAAAAGTGCAATTAACAAAAGCTGTAAACAGTATCTTCACATTCATTTTCAAATGAAAAAAAAATCTGTGGGCATAAATTTCAATCCAAAAGAACAAACACCCTAAAAGGGAAAAGAAAAAAAAGGACATTTAAGATATAGGAGTGTTTTTTTTTTCAAAGTAAATACAGATTAAAAATTCTAAGAATATTAAGTATCAAACTAATAAGGAACAAATTCTATAAACTACAAAATAAAAACCTTCATTGACAAAAATACATAAACTCTGTTTTCATTTTTGGAAATTTATTTTTAAAAAAGGTAGAAGAAAATACCTGGAAAACTATTTTAAATATATATATATATATCTATATTTTAAAACAATAGTTAAGGTAGGCATCCAACAGCAAGCTGTAGCTATTGAGAAAGATCTTGCAATTATGGTTGTGGGCATTTTCCCCCAAAATAAAATTAATATTTGAAAATGCTCAATAGAGGGTTTTTTTTTAACCATAGTAATGGCATCTTTCCTGTCATGTGTGAAGATTTTTAAATGATGTATGATTTTTTAAAATTAACTGTATCTCGATATGAGATACCAATATTTCTTATTATAAGCGTAAAACATAACTTTTTGTATGGATAATATACATACTTTTTAAGTACTTTGACTTAAACTTAACGAGTTCACCATTTTTAAAATTAAAGAGTACATTTATAAAAATTTCATTTTAAAACTAAAAGTATATTCTCTAGCAGTATGTATAAATATAACATGTTACTGTATGATCTTAAAACAAATCTGAAAGTGTTGCAATAATTAAGACCAAGAACACTGAAACATACAGCAAATTATTTTACTATTTTTTAAATCTTTGAAAACTATATAAAACCCTATTGAAGGTTTTAAAACTGATCAGTTTGTTTAAGGTGCAGGTAGCAGCATATTCATGATTTTGGCATGTTTTATACATATGTATCACTTGATTTAAACTGAGAAATGTGGATTAAATGATAATAAAAAGTTTTCATTACCTAAAAAAGTGCAGAAAAAATTCAAGTTTAAAGTTCAGTGCTCTTTATTTTGCAGAAACAAATAAAGTCCCAACAGTTAAAATGTAAAATAAATCTTTGCCACAAAAAATTTACCTTTGGATATAGCTTTTCTAATGTCACATGAGAAATGCCTTAAGCAAAAGATATATGGAATATAGAACCCAGGGTAAAACTTTGAACTCCATGGTATCTTCCACATATTCTTCCTTTCCTCGGCTGTCTCCCAAGCACCCCTGTAACCTAAAAGTATGTAACACTTTCAGACTTGTTTAAAACACTCACATATCCACATAAATTAATTTCAGAGGAACCTACAATTAAGAAGTTCTAAGCAAAAAAATTCTTCTTTCTTTACTTTAAACTACTGCACTTAATTAAATTGTAATATACTTACAGACAAGTAGCAGCATTTTTCACATCCATAAAAAATCAAATTAAGAAGTTAGTAATAGCTCAGTTGAATCCATAACAATTTTTTGGAAACACTTTGTACAATTGAAATGCAAATGAAAATTGTTAAGATGATGCAAAACTTCAAATGGACGTAATATACTGAATCTGTCAGAATGTAAGATTTCAAATAACTTTAAGCAAATATATATGGATTTTAGTTTGAAAAGTGAAATGAACTGGATATATGGTACATACAGAAAAACTACTTCCTACTGACAAATTGCTAATCAATGAATACTTCAATGATTTTAGAGTCAAGGACAAATGGAATAAAACAATGTTGAGGATATGGAGAGAGCACATGAAAATCTTTCGTTTTTCTGATATTTTCTATTTTAACCTTTTTTTTTTTTTTTTTGGTTAGTTTTCCTGAAATCGTGGCTTGCTGGTGACTATTACTTTCTGCATTTAAAAAGAAAAAAAAAATAGAGATGTTATCTCAAATTACAATAAATTCCCTGGGTTAGTTATTACTGCAGACTGTCTCTTATCTACAGACTGAATCAAGTATAACTCTAAGAAGCTTATTTCCTATACTCAAACTACTTTAAGCTTTTTAATCCTAACTGAGTTCCTAGTTTGTTGTGCATAATTTATAGATCAATTTAAAAATTAAATAACTCAAAACATCAATTTGAGATTTTCTTATAAAATCCTGAAAATCCATCTCAGGTCAATGTAGCTCTTTCTCTATTTGAAAATAATTACAAGAGTGGTTCATTTTATATACAACAGGAAAAATGACAGTAAAAAATGAATATACAAATAACACAAAATAACACAAATTAAATAACTGTGGCTAATATGACCTTCCACATCCATAGGGAATCAATCAGTATATTAATTTACTCAATGCTTCTCAACTTCTTCAAATCCATAACTGTTGATTTTATTGATGACATTCACAAAACTGACCTTTTAAAAAGGACCTAATACTTCTTCCTGTGACATATGGAATAACAGGTTTACTGGATAATAGATAATACAAATTAAGCAATTAGTAAACTGTTGAATGCTCATCATACAGCTGACATTAACTAAACAGAAATATGTTATCATCAATACTTTCTATAAATTCAAAAACTCTTGAAAATGATTGTATTTTTAAAATATTTCTTTTGGTTTGATCAATTATCTCCATCACACATATTTAGTCCCTACTCAAATGATATTTAAAGTAAACTTTGATGTAAACTTTTGTATCCAGTAGTGCACATATAAAATGTAAACATAAAAGCTTTATTAATGAAGAGTAAGGAGGAAAAAATGCATAACGGACTGCATGAAAAAGTTAAGATGTCCTACATATACCTTTAATGATCATACGGAAGGGAAAAACAACCATCATGTTTGCTATCAATTTGTGCTCTGATTATCTCTTAATGAAAAAAGTAAATGATTTAAAACAATTTTTTATAGAAGACAATATTTAAATTTCATTAACATTAATTTTAATGCTTCCACTTTGTTCCTACTTCGTTGCTTTAACAACAATCAATGATAATCTCAGATTAGCCACATTATGAGACTGCTTATTTCCACATCTACCCAGTGGTTTCTTTCCTGTCTGTAATGCTATTCTATGAACCAATCATTCATAGTCCATTGCTAGTCTCAATTTGCATTATACTCCAATACAGAAATAATTTAGTTATCAAAGTGTATGTATTTTCCTTTCTTTTTGGCTTTTTAAAACCTTGAAAGGATATGTACAGATTTATAGTATATTTATACAGAAAATATTTTGTAGGTCATCAGACTAGACTCTTACATAGATAATTATTGACAACAGATGCTTGTAATTTTCCATGCGATAGCATGTGCACTAAGATTTAATTGACTCATCACCTGAGTGTATTGGAACTGTTAGCAAATAAAGGGCATTTTAAAAAGGGAGCTGAGCATTTTACTGAAATACTGAAAGTTTTTTTTTGCAATTTTAATTAAATAATGCAAAGGTACATTTGGTTAAACATTTTATAAAAATTCAAGCAAAATTAAAAACTTAGCCAATTTTAACATTTCTACAAATTTAACCAGTAACTATTTTGGTCAAATCCACCTTTAGCTGAATTAATGAGAACAAGGACAAGGAACATTGAAGTATTCTCCTCACCACAATGGAGGTTTTTCTCACTTTCCACACTGCATAGCCACTACATGGAAACTCCCAGAATGATGAGCAATTCAGTCATGCTCTACACTTTTCTTTTCAATGAAAAGTGATGTATTGTCTTGTTTTGCTTTTGACAAAATATGAACTAAACACAAGTATATAATAACAAGAATCCAAGAGTAGCCCATACACAAGTCAACTATGTGTATGTTTTTTTTTTTTATTTAAAGCCCACCATTCAGCTTATCTGTCTAAAGATATGGTAACAAACAGTTTGTTTCTGTTTTCACTAATGATGCTGACGACCAGTCAGTTTAAGAGAGGGAAAGTCCAAGACAGCTGTTTATGATCCAGTCCAATGACATAAATATAACTATTTCAGCTTCAGGACTTCTGACTCATTGCCTCTCCCCTAAACAGGTCAAACACTGACGGCAGATACAACGGCACACAATCTTTTGGCATATGAAGGTTTAACACAGGAACGATCCAGGGTTAGTCCCTGCCATATCTCTTCAACAGCCCCCTTTGTTTCTTCATCTGTCACGTGTGACTGCTTGGTTCCCAGACTGTCAACTCACAGCTGGCACACACCATCTACTCCAGTTTGAGTGTGTGAACACTCCTCAGTTAAAGCCACATGACTGAGGTAAAACAGTGCATGATTGTGCTAGGAAAGAACAGTATTCAGCGATGAACATCCCTTTAATGTTAACTTTCCTAAATAAATCAATGTAATAAAAAAGGAAAACATTTTTCCTTCTGGCTGAAGTTGAACTTAATGGATTCTAGTTGTCAGAACTGGTACCACTTCTTATCTTTGTATTTCAGCATCATCTAAAGGGAAAAAACCAAGAAAACCATGTTTTTAAAATGCCAGAACAATATTTATAAGTTATAACTGGTTTCTATATGTTTTTCAAAACATTCCATCATTCTGAAACATTCTGTAGCATTAATATATTGCTTACTTCAAATAAATTTATTGAAAGCAATATGAAGAGTTCTATTTAGAGGAAAAAAGACCATAACCATTAAGAACTAACCTAGAATTTCCTCAAATTTTGTAGCAGTGTGACACAAGTTGGTGATCTAAGCTAATAACATAAAGGTAATTTTCAGTTTTCTAATATGAACTAAAAATAATGCTTAACGGACTGGTGTGTGAAAGGTTGAAAACCCTCTGCTACTGCCATCTCAAATTTACTGAACATCTACTCTAAGCCAGGCACTACATGGCACACTTTCCCTGCTTGATTTCATTTGATCCTTACGACAATTCCTGGGTTAAGCATTGTTTTTCTCCTCATTTTACAAATGAAGAAACTGAGGCTTCTAGAGTTATCCAACATAACACAATGGTGAAACTGGAATTTGAGCCCAGGCAGTCTGATTCAAGAACCCATGATTGGCTCACAACAACAACAACAATAACAACAAAAAAGAACCCATGATTGTAACCTCCTCGATATACTGTCCTCCTTTGATTCTCAAATATGGCTCAAGAACACTGGTAGAAAGGAAAACTGTAAGTTTGAGACTGAGCTCTTTGCTAAATATTTAGAGTGTAGATATAATATGAAATTGACTAAAGCGCTATATGCCTTAGAGATCACACAATCGGGTGCAAAGGTGTGACAACAAAAATCCTGACCTAGACTGAAGGCCACTAGCCTGTATCTGAGGTGCCTGTGGGGACAGTACAAGTGCTCGCAAAGGATCTCTGAATCTCTCTGAAGCCCTGGGCAAGTATTTCTCAGGTCAAGTTACCTCTTTCATACATTTTAGGTTTCAGAATTCTTGAGCAAGGGAGAGATGACTTTTGAATGAAAAAGTTAAGAGAGCTATCACTACAGATTGGGTGCTCAAGTGTAAAGGCAATGTTGATATGGTTTTTTCAGAAAACAAACCCAAAATGTCTTTAAGGGCTAGGCTAGGAACGAAATGTGTGAAGTAACCCGTGCAAAGCATCAAGAAGTAGAAGACATGTGTGTCAAAATGAAAAACGTGTGTTTTACCTAAAGGCTTTCAAATTCAGCTTTGTAAGAGCCTATGCTGGTCAACAAAACATATTTTTAAGAGGGCCAGTTAGGGATCCCTACTTTATAGCATCTATTTCTGAGCTCCATCATGACCTCCCAGGTCCATCAAGATGAACTAATTGCAAAATGCATCTCGCTGCTAATCCATACGAATTGTTCTACAAAACAGGCTTAGCACTGTTTATTTAAATAAAACTGTTTGTTAATTTTAGTTATTTAGATCTACCTGGAAGAATCAAGGAGGCAAATTATTTCCTTCTCTAGGACAAAGTGTAATAGACTCAGAGGCATTAAGGAAAATCAGCATTGTTATTACATTCCTTAAGAAATAGTTACAAATCTGGCTTTGTTTACAAAGAGCCTGAAAGTGAGCAGGTTCCTTCAAAATTTATAATCTCCCATAAGAGATAAGAGGCTATTGAGACACATTCCTGTAATGGTTCCCTCTGGTGGCAAAACTCAGGAATTTGCAACTGTACAAAGGATATATGAAAATTCATGTGTGTAAAAATACAATAGTTATAAATATACAATGACTCTCATACTTGCTTTACTTAGGGTTTCTTGTTTAGATAGCTGTTTGATAGACATACCTCATGAGCATGTTTAGAAAATGAATCTGCACTTGATAACATAGCTGCAGTTCTTTCTTCCAGGTCGCCCAGTTTCTGCCCTCTTTCATCTAGTGCCAGCCTAGCTCGTGCTAATTCCCCGACGACTCCAGACGCCGCCCCTTTCACACCCTCAATACCACCAGGGCCAGGGATGTGCTGTGCGAGACTCCTTGAGGCCTTTCCCGAGGACGATTCTCCAACTGAATGGATTGGATAAATGAGAGTGACTCAAAAAATGAAAATTTCATATAAAATCCCACTACATGAATGGCATTAAAATATAATTTTTAAATTGAGTAACTATATAATTGAAATATTACGTATTTCACATATTAATATGTTCTTTTATTATGGTTTTAATAATTTTTAGATGCTTTTTTGAACATATAAAAATGCAATGTACATCAATAAATATTCTACTCTATACTAGTTTGTAACAGCAAGACTTGTGCAAAAAAGGGGTTGGTAATTGTTGAAATGAATAATGAATATACTGATACCAATTTACATAATGGTAAAAATTGCTCCAATGTGTACAAAAAACTAAAGATACATTAACTTAAAGATATGTAGCTTCGAGTGTATAGATTAAATTTAAATATACAAATTGGATTTAGTTTATTCCTCACTTTCTCTTACTTGTCACTTACCAAACAGATCCAGTTTTCCTTCAAAAGACCTTAGGAATTCATTGGTTCCTTTCCCTTTCTTATATAGACTCTGACTACCCAACACGTAGATCACCGCAAAAGTCTTAAATTCTTTAAAGGCTGATCCTCTTCCCTCAGCATACATTTCTTTCTTTCTTCTTTTTTAACCTTTGGCCAATCATATTTCTACTGAAAAACCTTCCCAACAGAGTACAACAGGATGGACTCTGAAATCACTTTTAATATCCCTTACTAGATATTGACTGTTATATCAAATATTAATTGAAAACTTTTAATTGACCATTAGTACAACTATGGATGGATTCTGATTTTGTTTTTCATTCTGTGGACTGTGTTTTAAACAATTCAAAAGTATGTTCCTGATTTTGACACACTTAGTGGTATTGCACGTTTGTCACTTTATTGAATATGTACGAGGGTCCCACGAAGGTTATAAAGCATACCCTTGTACAGCTTCAGGTGCTAGCATTAAAATTGGTCTGTTACTACACACACAAAAAACACAACTTATATACCATAAAATTCACGCCTTTAACGTGAACAATTCGGCAATTTTTACTTTATTCACAAGGCTGTGAATCACCATCACTACTATTTGATTCCAAAACATTTCATCACTGCAAAAGAAACCTCTGATGCCTGTTAACACTTTACATTCCCACTCTTCCCAGTCCTTGGCAATCACTAATCTCTGTCTCTATACATTTGTCTATTCTGAACATTTCAATTAAATGAATTCGTACAATATGTGGCCTTTCATAGCTGGCTTCTTCCATTGAGAATATGTTGTCAAGGTTTATCAATATTGTAGCATGCATCAGTACTTTATTCCTTTTTATGGCGAAATAATATATCGTTTTATGGATAAATTACATTTTGCCTACTCATTCATCAGTTGATAGACATTTGGGTTGTTTCCATTTTTTAGCTTTTATGAATAATGCTACTATTGAATATCTGTATAAGTTTTTGTGTGAACATATGTTTTCAATTTTCTTGGGTATACGCCTGGGAGAGGAATTACTGTGTCAAATGGTAACTCTGTGTAACTTTTTAAGGCACTGTCAGACAGTTTTCCAAAGAGGTTGCCCCATTTTATATTTGGTGTATGAGGGTTCCAATTTTTCCACATCCTTGCCAATCTTTGTTATTGTGCATGTTTTACAGCAGCAATCCCCAACCTTTTTGGCACCAGGGATCAGTTTCATGGAAGCCATTTTTTTTCACAGACCGGGGGTGAGGTGGTGGGGTGTTGTGGGTGTTGTGGGGTGTGGTTGCAGAGCTCAGGTGGTGATGTGTGGCCCATTTCCTAACAGGTCACGACTGGTACCAGGCTGCAGCCCAGGGTTTGGGGACCACAGTTTTACAGGCATCCTAGTATGTGTGAAGTGGTATCATATCGTGGTTTTGATCTGCATTCCCCTAGGACAAATGATGTTGACCATCTTTACATGTGTTTATTGGTCATTTGTATATATTTTCTTTGGAGAAATACATATTCAAACCTTTTGCCCATTTAAAAACCGAGCTATTTGTCTTTTTATTATTGAGTTGAAAGGGTTCTTTATATATTTTGGATACTAGACCTTATCAGATATCAGATGTATCATTTGCAAATATTTTATTCCATCCTTTGGATCACCTTTTACTTTCTTGATAGTGTTCTTTGAAGGAAAAACTTTACAATTTTGATGAATTCCAATTTATCTTTTTTCTTTCCTTTGGTTGCTTCTGATTTAGGTGTCACATCTGAAAAGCCATGGCCTAAAAGTTTTGTTTTTTGTGTATAGAACTGTAGATTAAATTTCATCTTCTGTCAATATATAGATCATCCTTCCATCTTTGGCTGTTAGGTATCAGTCTATAGCTTGTTAAAAGATATTTATCATTTTTCTCAAGCCACCTTAAAGATTTTTTCTTTGTCTTTGGTGTACTGTATTTTCATATGACATATCTAATTGAGAATTTAAAAAAATATATTCTTGGAATTCATTAGGCTTCTTAACTTTCTGAATCGGTATTATGTATCAATTCTTATGCTTAAGCTATAGCCCTTAGGAGTCCCTGCAAAGAGGAGGAGCTATTTCAGGGTCCCCACCCAAGTTGCCATGCTCACCACTCTGGGCTCCCCTCCTTCCCCATGTTCCCACTGTCCATCCTGAAAACTCCTTACTAGATTATTAGTTCGTGGGTATTTTTAAGATTTTCAAAAAATATGTTTTTTGAGTTTTATATAACTTTATAAATTTTCCTCAGTAAGTATGTTTTTCCAAATTATCAGTCCTTAGTGACTTGAAGAATAGTCTTCATTTTTTTTTTAATTGAATTAAAACTATGAAAAAAATCATTAGGGTAAGTTTTTAGAATGAAATTGCATTGCACTGCATGCAACTGATATTAAATGTTACAGTTTTTCTACTTAGTCAAACATAAAACAAAAATTATACAATATTTTAGCAAAAAAAGAAAAAATTCAAGGAGAGATAAAAGCATATATTTGAAAAAAAAAGGTCAAGCATTCAGTGATTCATTAGTTCATTCAATAGTTTTGCTAATTTGTGTCAATTATGTGGAAGGTAGTAAATGAATCAGATTTTGCTATTTTTAAATACACTTTTGGTATGAGAATAATTTTGGAGGTTTTCTAAGATAGAGTAAATGTTTAAGTAAAAGATTTTTCAACGTTAAGTATATCAATTACAAGCAATCATTGCATTAAAATAATAATGAACATCCCATATAATGAAAATAAAGGAAGTACTTTCTAAATTATA